TTTCCTTTCAGTGTCACAGAAACTTGATGTGTCACTAGAGTTTAGCCGGCCCGTATGGCTCGGCCGAGCGCCCTAGGATCACCATAGTGAGATATTGACGGTACGGTAAAAGAATGGATAGAATTTGAGCATCTGATTTGGATTCCATCGTCCTGGATGCGGAAATGACGACGAACCGGTACCGTAGGTCATCTCCCCTGTCACCCCCGAAGTCCCGACGCTATGAGACTGCCTCAGCTGGCTCACGGAAACCTTAGGTGAGTTTTGAGAGCGTTTGAGAGAGATTGGAGAGTTGGGTGTAGAGGAGGGACCTCCAACGCTATTTATAGAGTTTTCAGCCAGGCCCTCTCATAACGGGCCGAGCCGAACTCGGTTCACACAAGCCGGACCCATATCTGACCAATTAAGAAACCTTATATCCAACCTATTAGACCAAACCCACAAGCGGGTAATAACAATCTCAATTAATGTGACACACATTAGGAAAACGTTACATTCTCCCACTTGGGCTATATTAATTGAAATCGTACTTTATGTGCACCTTTATTTGGTCTATGGATAATTCTTAATAGTCAATCCGATCCCATAAAGTTTCAAACACCGAATCATTATGGTAACTGCATGTAATCACGCAGAGCATTCCATGGTCACAAGTGTCTTAGACTTTACTGATATTGATTCGATATGGTTGTGTGGCAAACAGATGACACCTCATATTTGTTTGGTGAGTTCCATTTCGGAAATGACACGTACATATGGCTCCAAAACGGCGAAAATCCTCAGCACCAACAAAAAGAAAAATCTTTTGGAGATTGACTATGCTATTGTTTTATTATATTATTAAATTTAAATAAAAGCAATTCTTTTGGATCGACCGTCCTTTAATTTTTTTTTTTTCGTTTTTGGTAACACCAATAAAAATAAAAATAAAAAGCTAGAAGAAATAAATTCTCTCCCGGACCATTGTTGGCATGGAGGGTCCCAGAAAGAAGATAATCCCTCGGTCGAGCATGCACAAATGGACTCCACCAATCGATGAGCTGCCGCTATGATGATGGACTATTTGACAAATCAATAGATGTCGCTTTCTAATCTTTGACGTACCCTACGAAGTTACGACATATTAAATAGTTTGAACTATAGCAAAAGAGAATAAGAGAGTTTCTATATGGCGTGACTTTTGCTTATGTTTATGCATTATGACTCCTTTTTAAAAAAATTTTATGGGCCAACGATTCCAAATCATCATGAAGCACCACCGTCCATTTTACAATCGTCGGTTGGTCAGGGCGTCTGGAAATTTTCGGCCGGGAACTAGAGGTCGTTCGTTCAAATTTCACCGACGGTAAGAATTGCTTTGGGATTAAGGGTCCAGGGTTGAGGTAATTTGCGCAAATCGCAAATCTAGACTTAATTGGTTTATAAGATTTGCTTCGTGATCACATGTCTGGATTTTATTTTAAAGATACAACTAGACTAGAAAGAAATACTTTGATCCACGTGCAAGTAAGGGTATAGAGAAAAAGCTAATTGGTGTTTGCCTCGTTCTGTGCAAGCTAAAATGCTTAGCCATTCTTGAATCTGGTCCCTCTATTTTGAGGTGATCGAGTCGACAACTGTGTCTACTAAAAAAACATACTAAGTTGCAGAGTGAGGCTTCTCTATATCATGGATGAAAACGGAACGGGTTTGAGATAGTTGATCTTGTTTCAAATCCGTCCCGTTAACTTTTCGTTATATCCCAAATCATCACAAACACGTTACAGATTTTGTGATTAAACTCCAAACACGTCTCACTAAAGTAATCGGTAACCCGTTGAATACCCGTTACCCGCCATAGTGCTATTTTAGTAAAAAAAATATCTCACACTATGAGCTAAAATGAAAAACTTGTAAGCCTCTTCAATCGAACCCCTCTATTTTCATGTGATAAAAAAAGGGACACTTACATGTCATGAGTAATCGCTAACCCATTGAATACACGTTAGCCAATGGGCGGACGTTTCCGCCTCAAACTCAAAATCAGAATCTTCGGGAATATGTGCAAATACGACGAGATTGTTATCACTTTATTCATAATTTGAAAGGACGAGAACGTTCCAACCAGGGGAAAAAATATTGAGATTTCTTAGATTATTTATAAATCTGTACTTTTTTTTCTTTTCGTGATTTTTTCTTTCGTATTTGCAATCTCATTTTTACCCAACATAACAAAAGAAAAAAATTACGAAAAGAAAAAAAGTACACATATAAATAATCTAAGAAATCTCAATACTTTTTTCCACTGGTTGGAACTTCTCATCCTTTCAAATTATGAATAAAGTGATAACAATCTCGTATTTGCACATATTCCTGATTATTCTTAGTCTAAGAAATAAATAATCTAATAAATCTTAATATTTATAAATAATAGCAACTCTGAGAAGTGGAAACATTGGTTAGGAATTTGGTCTAGTGAGAAGGTTACAATGGTTAATGGATGGGATTTTTTGCGAGTGGCAATCCAGTAAACCAATGGTCGATAAGTCACCACCTGGACATGAGGAGAAAGGCCAATAATGGCTTGCCACGTGTTATGAGGACACATCCTAATGGCGAGTTGACACATGCCATTATCGTGATAAGTTTTAAGACCTGATCACATTTTTTAAAAATTTTAAGACTCGATTGTATCATCGTGGTAAGTTTTAGGGTTTATGGTGCACTTATCTCAAACTAGAAGATTTAAGAATGATATTTTAGAAAAATGTTAATATGTTTGGGTACAATTTTATAAATTTAAGAATGATATTTATGATTTCAAGTGTTAATTAAGGATTTATTAAGTTAGATTAATTAAAGGTAACCAAATCGGTTCAAAATAATTAGTTTTGAAACTTTAGGGGCAAAATTGCAATTTCCCAAAGCTTATGGACGAATTTACAAAATCTGGAAATTCTGGGGACTAATTGCAGAATCAGATCACAAACCTTAGAATGATTGTTACTGAATTCACTACAAAATTGGACTTAATTGTACAGCTATTGTATAACCCGCGCTCGTGATCGATGCGCCAAATGAATTGTCGATAAAAGATAAACCGAGTCTTTCTCAACGAGTCCTTTGGGCCATCTCGAGCAAGTACCTCTAAACCCGCGTCTCAAGAGCATGCCTCCGAGGCGTAGGTCGCGACAGGCACTAATAAAAACGTTAGCGTAAACGTAAACAAGCTTCCGTGCTTAAAATCTCTAGTTTCATAGGAATTGAGAAAACGCTCCCGCATCTCAATTGGTTTCTAGTCAACCCCAAATGGCTAGTGACGACTCCTAAAAATCCACAGGCTTAGAAAGAACTTACAAGGAAAATCCAACATCGAGTGAGATACGGGCTTGGGAGAGCCCGTGCCTAATGGAGGGCTATACCCCTAAACCTAAGTCTCTTACCCCTTCGGACGAAAAAGGTTAGGTCGAGACATAGGTTGCATTTGGAAACACTTTGGGGGAAAGTTTTTGGGAAAATGCAAATGACTTTAAGTTAAATGAGTTTTTCAAAATGCAAATTGTGTTTGGTAAGCTGTAACTTAAAAGTCCCTTGCAAAGTAACTTTGGGTAAAATAATGCTTGGAAAAATTATACTTACAAAGTAAATTTTTCATTTTTTATTAAAGGAAAATTGAAACCCTTCGCCAGCCGGCGAAGGATGGGCGGCCGCCGGCGACCTAGATCTGGCGGCGGCGGCCATCAGCGACCCCAGGCGGCTCTCGTCGGCGATCGCCGGGGGTTGCCCGAGGCCGTTCGGCTTCAGACGATGGTCGCGCGGCATCAGATCTGGGTCACTGATGGCCTCACCTGAGTTTCGCGACCCTCGTCGGGGGTCGCTTGACCCCAGGCGGCCCTCATCGACGGTCGCCGGAGGCTGCTTGAGGTCGTTCGTCCTCAGACGACCGCCGCGCGGCGCCAGATCTAGGTCGCCGGCGGCCCTCGAGGGTGGTCTAGGTCGCGCGACCTTAGGTGGCCCTCGCCTGGGTAGCGTGGCCCCTTGCGGCGGTCATGCGAGCCCAAGCGACGGTCGTCGGGTTGCGCGACCACACCGGCCGCCCTCCATCCGGTCGCCGTCGCTTCACAGCCACGCCGCTGAGGTCTCAGCGAAGATGAAGATGAACGGTACAGACGATGCCAAAATCAGAAAATGAAAAAAAAGATAAGGGTAGTTTCGGGAGAAATTTTTTTCACTTATTCCTGGGACTTGTATGCCGAGAAAGCTGAAAGCCCAAGGCAGCGTAGGACCTGCCTTGGGCTTTCAGCCTTCCGAAGGCTCTTTTTTCCTCAAGGTGGGCTGTAAAATTTTTATCTAACACCCAATACGTGGCTCAATGAGCTTTGGACGCCCAAAGGCCCTTGGGAAAGCCATTCCCAAAGGCAGCCAATCTGCCATACCAACGAAGAGTTTCCGATACAACAACAGACGAAACAAAATGGACTTTCACGAAGATAAAGATCAGTTACAATCTTTATTTTTCATTTACGGTTACGATTAAATTTTGTTTGAAATTTATCCATGACGAGGAAAATTACAGTCACTAAAGATTACCACTCATTGATTTACGCCCTTAAAGGCGAACCACTTGCTGATATGTTGTGTTACTACTTTAACAGTAAATCACTCTCGAGAGATAAAAGTTATTGACTTACAAGGAAAATTAATAATATATTTGAGAATGGTTGTGAGTACAACGATTTGAGATTGTTTTATTAGGTGCTTGCACCGTGACATTGCAAAGCGTACAGCCAAATTTTACGATAACTGTAGGCTAATTCTGGCGAAAAATGGTTAATTACCGACCCATGAAACCATAGCCAAACACACTACTGTCAAGGAAAATCACTTTCTGCATGGCTACTTACGACCTCTGAACCAATATTGACCCGTGAAACCATGCATACTACTTTAAAAGGCAAATTACTTCCTATAAGGTGAAGCACCTCACTGACGATCAGTGCTTGCCAAAGAGACTAAAAAAGTAGACGTAAAAATATGATCTTTGAATAGTTACAGCACACAAACTGGAGCAAGTATGCATCAAATGTTCCAAGAATGGCTTCATTAACGCTAAAAATGCACCTGGGACGGGGGCAAAAAAATGCAAAATCGAATTTTGATCGGAGAGAATAACAAGGGGGACTTGGGCTAGTAGCTTTATCAATGCAACAACGTCCATGAACTTGGCGTGAGACCTGTACTATTTATGATGACAGTATGTGTCCCATCTTGAAGCCTATGGATTGAGAAGAGAATCCACATCTTTCCAATAGGTAGCAATTCTCAACCTTCCCCGCGACGTTCCATATCACCACTCAAATGACATCTTTGGCTGCTCTTCCTAAACTTGACTGCTCATTAGTAAAACTGCAAAAAATTCAAAAGCCCACTCAGCCGCACATACAAAGAACTTCGATTCATCCTCTCCTCGTTTACATGGAGGCCAGTCATGTAAGATTTTCTTGATTTTCCTAAGAATGCTGAGCATCATAATCAAGACGCTGTCCGGTTCATTTCATTCCAGCAGCTGCACGACTGCACTGAAACTGAAGGTTTCACCTGGTTCAAAACTGTCTTCTAGGTCCTCAAAACTGTGCTCAACCGTCAAATCTTTCCCAACTTTTAAGCCGTTCTGCAAAAGAAAGAGGAAATTAGAAGATTGTCATAGAAGTTTCCCATGCAAAGCTGCACAAATGTGATAATGGATCCTCCAAAGGAAGGAAATATTGTTTTTTTATGTGATACTCTCTTGTGCAAGCAACAGTGAGTGATGGGGCTTAATGCTACTCCCCCAAGTGTTTTGTCAACTCTTCTCTAAATGCAACTAAATAGAACAGATTATCTATAGAGTACAAACCTCCCTACGAGTTTGACCTTATCTCCCCACATGTGCAGTAAGAAAAATAACATCTCTTAAGTGCGGTAAAAAATAATATCTGTCCTTGCTCTCCCATTTGGAGAAACAGGACGGAAACAAAAGTGGCAGCAATATCTATGTATCATGGGAATGCATGAAAGAATCTTCATGTTGGGTTGCACGTGGTGATGACTGAGACACCACTTTGCTCTACATATTGCCCAACTCTTGATTGTGATTGCTCAGCTGAATGATAAAGAAGAGAGAAAGACCATGAATAGAAAGAACAGAAGATGATTTCGCCAAGGTTGAAAAGAGGGAAAGATTTGAACCTTGGCTTAACTTTGATGTATATGTAAGTCTTTCACCGCCTCTATTGTTTTGAATAAATCTTATGTTATGCTTATACTTAAACTAGATCGGTCATGTTAATATATATTCATTGTGTGTAATATCGAATACAAGATATGTGGCCGAGTGACATCATGGGCATCAAAAAGGCACTGACGTTTGAGCACAGTGGGAACTGTCATGCTAGACAAAGTGCTATGCCCTGGGAGCCACCTCTTAAACCTTGGGTATAGGGCAAAATGTTGCATGGTGAGAGCCACCTCTTGAAATCATGAAGCCACCTCTAGAATCCTACTTGTGTGATCATCTATGTATATCGATGGGATTAGCTATATGACATGCATCATTCGATAACAGCTACGCGATCTATTATAATTAGCATTTCCGATCCCTAGAAGAGGTGGAGAATTTCTTGCTCAGCCAGTGATGTGCTTACTCAGCGTCGAGGCTGGCTCACAAACAGTGTGTACAGGCTGGCCTAGATTGAGGAAACTTGGAAATCAAGGTCCTGGAATAGAAGTGCGCAGTGGAAACTAAGTGAATTTGGGGACATTACAATAAAGGAGAGACTTTTTGATGTTTGTGAGGACTAGATTGGACAGTTCTGCCATTTGGACATATCTTGCAAATGAAACATCGTGTAAACTCAGTAGAAAGTTTAATATTATTTTAAATGAGAAGGAATTCTCAGCTCCACTAAGGTCACGGATCACAAACATAAGTGCATATATGGAGGAGTCGAGAGACCTATGCATGTATGACGAAGAGTTGGACATCTACCTTCTGAACATACTCAGCAACAGTGGAGTTAATGACATTCTTTATCACTTGCTTGTAAACTTTAGAAGGTCCAAGAATTTCTAGCAAAATGTCTCTGGGTATCTGCGCTAAGGCAAAAGCCACATATATTAGCATTACAAGCATGCCATAAAAGGAGGTTAAGCATCGACGCAACATCCTCACATGCTCAGTAGGTAGGAGGGGAAAAAATTCTGAGCAACATCAAATGTCAAACCAAGCATATATAGATTAAACAATGGAAGATTCGAATTCAATAATCATGCGCTTGAAAAAGGATATATCCAAGACAGAGAACAAACAGATGCGCCCAGCAAACAATGAATTCTTAACTGGAACACCTCCATTAAAAGAACGGGGAGGAATGAGCACTATAGCATCATTACAAGCTGTTCCTCTAAATAAATACCGTATGACATATTTCAACAGTCCCTGGTTTTGTTGAATATCACTAGATTAAAGAAAACACTGCGCGTCAGAGATTCCATCTAAATTGAAGTCCCAGAAATGGCTGAATAAACTTCGAGGGATATTATGCTTACCATTCCACTTGCACGGTTTAATTTTTGAACAACAAATTATTTACTTTTCATTTATTATCTGCCCATTCTTTAAGTGTAAAAGCTCATCCTCGGTCTAAATTTTCCATTTATAGAGCCAAGAAGCGACGCCAATAAAGTATCTGCAGCATGATAAGAGGACTCAGAAACTTACGTTCGGTGTTTTCCCTGGCAATTTGCAAATGTCACCAAAGATGTCAGAAGAAGATAAAAAAAAAATGGTTAGCTTGGTCAAGATGATAATAACAATGAACAAAATCATATTCATTGAGTGAGCAAAGAAATGGATTTCACCACGCGGCAAATCATATTCTTGCATACACAGTGCTTCAACGAGTCATTATTTGGCACTAAAATTGACAGCACATCTAAAAATTTTCTTGCTTTCAGTTCAAAATGCAATTTCGACATGCTGCAGGCAGGCTCCCTACTGCAACATATTGATGAGGAGAAAGAGGGAGAATAGTTTAGGAAAGAAGGAACATTTCATCTGCACGCATGAAAGCTTCACAAAGTTGCCTAATAGGAAATGAGATAAAGCCATATGGTTGATTATTGTGACCTTGAAAATGATAGAATCCATTGTTCAAAACATCATATTCCATAGTCGTCCAATGCCATGAACACAATGTCCTTTCTCATGACATTAAGACAGTAAGAACTGCTGCAATAGACATTCTCTAGTAGGTGATTTTACCTCCTTTTTCTCTACGAAACCCTGGAATTGGCTGGGCAGCAGCAACCAACTTGTCAAACACATCATTGAAAATCACTTGAGTTTTGGCACCAGATACCTCGACCCTTATCTAGACAAACGATTACAAATATCATCATGCCAAAAACTTGAGTACTGAAGTGCCAAAACAACAAATAATGCACTATTGTCTAAACCACAGGGAAGCTATAGGAAATTCAAAGGCCATTTGCCTTTGGCACAATTCCCTCGTTCTTCAATTAATACTTATTTAACAGTTTTTACATGAACCCATATCAAGATTTTGAGACACTACATACTGAAAAATTTCTTAGATGCAGCATAATATCATAATGCTTCTCACCTTCAAGTCTCTATCACTGCTGCTAGTTGTGTTGGTAACTGAAAAGTCTTCAAAATGAGAAGGAGTCTCAACATTTTCAATGCCTAATTCATACATATATAAGGCGTCAGAAGCTACAAACATGATTACCAGAAAGTTAAAAGTGGTATATGGACCAAAAAGAACTTATTTTAACCTGATACTGCAGCAAAAACAGCTCGGGAACCTTCATTATTCCTCCTGAAAAATGAATAAAAAAAATCTCAAAAAATCCATATGGGACGGTAAACTCTTGGTGATTGAGATCCACCACACAAAATTGGTTCAAGCCATTCCTACAGAAGCATAGGGTATGGCAAAACAAATCAATCAACCAAAAAGAAGGAATTTAAGGAATTCAAAGGCTATAAGATGACCCAAACATGAAGCAAAATTATGGGAAGATTCTCTTCAACATCTTATGGACACACACCTGACAATATGGAGTCAAAAACAACAAAAGACGCTAGCTAATGTAATGGAATGACAAAATGTGAAGAATAACCACGAGATGATTATCAGAAACAACAATTGTCAAGGCAATAATCCCTAATAATGAAGGGAGGTAGATATTATTATATGGCACTTTTGGTCCAAGCTGTGGTAGAAACTTATGAGTTCATGATTATCCTAACATATATAGTTACAAGATAAAGAGCAAAAGTACCTTCCACCGAATTCTCGAGGCAAGTATCTCCTTTGAAGGGAGACATGAGCCATTTTTGAAGACATACTTGGGATGGAAACATTCACAGCTTGCTTCACATTTATCATCTGCACAATTGCAAAATAAATTCCGAAATGATGTAACACGGAGCTTAATGAAACTCTACACAAAATAATCTCAATAACAATCTTCTAAGACTTGCTCAGCAATGCAATTTGATATTCCAGAAGCAGGCCATTCTGATGCTCGGATACTACTGCAATTTCGGCAGCAACATCAGTCCCATGTTACATTCTTTCTTGAGGGCGAGGAAGTCTTTTGTTCTTTTTCAACTTTATATTTTGTCAACTTACACAACAAAAGATTTGCCCTTTTATCGTCGAAGCTCGTTAAGAACAGAATTAGTTCTGCTAAAGGAACAGAATTAGTTCTGCTGATGCTTCGCGGCTTCGGCCTCCAGACTTTCGCATATATAAAGACAAGAACTTTTATCTCTTTACAACCCAACGTTGTCAACATCATCAAAGCACAAAACTCACAACAAAGAAGCACCTTTCAGAGAACCCGAGAATTCGGCAATTGCGCATAATCAAAATGCCACTTCAGTGGCTGTCTCGTGCTCATACGTGATGTTATCTCTCTCAAGAAAACAACAAAGAAAAGCTCCGTGAAAGGGCATTGACTGAGAAAGAAGAGCAGTTATACACAAGACCAATCGAGGGAGCATTGGTGTTTCAGCGGAATCTACAGGAGAAGGTAACTAAAGCGGAACAGAGCACATTCACATCGGAAAGAACGGTTGAACAGCGAGAATTCGAAACAGAAACGGAAGAATATCCGAAGAAGGGGTCTCGTTTCGACGAGGCTAACCTTGAGATTCGAACCCAAAAGAGGAGGATTGTTGGCGATGGCTGCTTCCATTTCTCTCTCTGAACTCTGCTCTCACTCTCTCCCTCTCACTCTCTGTAACTCCCGTCCCGGCCAAAGGGAAGAAGAAGATTTGAATCCGGTTCGGTCCCAATGGCTCATCGGTTCAATGCCGGTTCGGTCCTAATAACATTTTGAAAAAATGACACAAATGACCTCTAAATTTTAACTTATTATTTAATGCGATCTTGAACTTTAATTTAATGTATAATGTATTTACTGTACTTTGAGTTTATTTGGTACATATTTAATTTAATAAATTTCTTTTTTGTTCTTAATCTTAAACTAATGAAAAAATAACATAAACGATTTTTATTTAATTCAGAGTATACATTGAACATTTATTAAAAGTCTAATAACTATTTGTGTGATTATCTTTAACATTTTCTTTCGTATTAGAGAAACTAAACCATATTTATTATTTATTTTATTTTCTTATTTTTGGCTAGAGAAGTTCAAACCAATTATCAGCTATCAAAAAGCTTCTGCGGGCAGCACCACTCCGCGCACCCACAACAATGGCGTCGATGACGATGACGATGGCGTCGTCCATGCCTCGGCTGTTCCAACGCCTCCCACCAAATTCGAGAGTAAGAAGTCATATGCACCACCAACTTCATCGGGTCAATCTTCCTTAGTTTCATCGAGTCCGCCTGCTCTCTTCTTGTCCGGTGTTCTTCGCGCTGTGTCGTCGAGTCTGGTTTCAACGAAACTGTGGGTTTGGCTCGTGGTTGCGAAGAAGAATCTCGGCAGGAAATGATGAACAATGGCAATAAAGAAATGAAATTGCGGCCAAAATGCGTTTCCTTTGGTGCTTGTTCTGCGAATTGATGATTGAAGCTTGTTTTTTCAAGGACATTGTGATGGTAACTTGTGAACTGAAATGCAGCAGGTCCGTAACTGTGGAAGTCTGATAGTAAGAAATATATTGAACAAAAAAATGGGAAGTTCATCAAGAGTTGTACACACAAGGGGTTTCGTGTATCTGGATTGTGCTTCAAATGTTTCCACGGGAGTGTATTCCGTCTAAGCGTGAGTCCATTTGTTCTTGATGTCTTTCGCAGATTACCATTGGGAGCTTCCATGATTATATCCTCACTCTTGACAACCCCAGAAGCATCAAGTTTTGTTATGGACAGAATATATATCATAGGTAGACTATTACATCTTCCATGCACTTTTGTGAGTCTGCATTTCTCAAATTCCCTTAGCATTCTTCACTTTCTTTGTGTTACGAAGACTTCAGGAGTTGTTTCGAAGTTTGGTTTCACCCCTTGGCCAGCCAATTTGTGGCTTAGAGCGACAGGAATGGGTGATTCTATTCTCTTGATTAGCTATGGTTTACATCGAACGTTAGCACGATCATTGTCCTTGTACTGTAGTTGAACACCAATATTCTTTGAGCAAGATGTTTGCAGATGCACAGGAAGATTAGCAAACCAATATCTAGAACCCAATTGTAATACCTGAATGACATTTCACCATCTAGAAAATACGAGACTATTCCTTTGTCCATACATTATAGCATTTTTTCAGCACAGTCAAAATTCTATTAAAAAGATACCGAGGTAGTACACAAAATGACTTCAGAGGGAAGCCACCCATTTACATAGATTGCGAACGAAAGACTGTTATCATCACTTATAGCAGTTTTTCCAGCTATGCTGACTGAAACATCAGGATTTTGATTCTTGTGAATGTCAACAACTGTGAATCACCGGAGAAGGATAATATTTTGATTAGGTTGTCATGTAGTCGGAACTGCACTGGTGAAGTTCAACATGACCAAAGGAGAGGAGATGGAATTTTTTTGCTGTAATCTCAATGGCTGTCTTAATGTATTAAAGTTTGTGTGTGTTCTGTGGCAATAACGCTCAACATTCTGCTTAAATTTGGCTGTCCTCGGTTAGTAGTAGTATGATCTGCAAGTAAAGGTGCCTGCTCTCTCTCTCTCTCTCTCTCTCAAGCAGTAATAGCTTCAATACATAAGTTCACTCTTACTGAGTCTGAATGCTTTTAAGTGGATTCATGCACAATTTTTTTGTCCCCCTATTTCTGTTTTCAGGCAATCGACTTCTTTGTCTGTCAGAGGTCTGAGATATTTGTCGAAACCCATATGTGCAAGTGGTTCTGGTGAACTTCAGTTCTAACCATTTATACAAGTTTGATTGATTTATCTTTAAGCCTTATCTATGCTTCTTTAATTTTCCAGGTTTAGAGGCAGTGATTACGGATCCGAAGGACAATGCAGTAACTTTGAAAAATGCCAAGATTGTTGTAGAGTCCCAAAAAGAAAATCAGATGCAAGTGAGCCCTTCTCTCTCTTCTCTCTAGATTATCTTAAGTGTCCAACTGCAACTTTGGAGCAAAATTAAAGAAAGTTTTGACAACTTCTGTGGGTTATTTGACCCTTGTGCTGAGTGAGTTGATGTTTCATAGTACTGGTCAGGTCAGAGCATACTATTCTATGCAAGTAGCTTACCTTTCCGCATCTATTGAGATTGTCTGGTCATTAGAAAATGCAGAAACTCTATTATCATATTTACCAGAAGGGCATTTTTTTTTTTAATATTTTCATTGTGCCCTTTCCAACTCATTTCACCTGACTTTTGATGCCCCTCTACTTTAGTCTAGCTGAAGCTATGAAGGAGCAACTTAAATTAATTGTGCATTGCCGTGTTTCATTCAATAAATCGTTGACCTTTATTGCATGAGTCTCTAGAAAGGGTCAACGGTATTAGTAGTGATCTTAAACTAAAAATCTCAAGTTAAAGTACAAAGATTTATCTTTACTGGCTCAAATAAACTGATGGCAACAGCCCATCTGATTTGTCTTCATAAATGTGGAGATAGATAAGAATGTTTGCATGTGCAACTAGGCAAAAGTACCGTTTGAATTGCTTCCGAGCTATTGCAATGGCAGCTGGGGCTTTTTTTATAGCGGGCGTAACTCTTTGAAGCCACAAAAATATTGCACCCAAAGTTTCTGTATGTTATTTAGGTTTGACCCTAAACGTCATGTGTTTTCCGGAAGTAGGTATTTTGATTTTTTATCTCAACTTTAGATGTGAGAAGTGTCTTGTTTAGTAATCACTTACAACCAAGAAGTAACTGCAAAATCTAATGAGTTTTTGTTGCCAGCTGAGAGTGGATTTGACTGGCGATGAGACACAAAGAGTATTTGATCAGGTTCTGACTAATCTTGCTCGTACAGCACCGCCAATTCCAGGTTTTCGTAGGCAAAAAGGAGGTAAGAGACTGATATATTCTTTAATCCACATGTTCTTGGTCAAGAGTAACTTTGTTTTACTGGTAATCCTTTTCTGGATTAATAGAAGATTGGTATACAGCTATTTATCAAACTTCCACTGTGTTAGCTCTTCTATTTGTTTCGGCTACTATTTCTTTCACAAGGAAAGAATATGGAAAAATTAGAGTTACGTAATTATTTTCCTTGTCTAGATTACCCTGTGCACTTTATCTGAAGTCATGTATTCTGATCATGTTCCATTTGGCATACTCGTGGGAGCTCATCCAGGAAAAACAACAAAGGTGAGTGACCCAGCGATCTCCATAGTCTATTTATATGGTTTCTGTGATTTAACCTTTCTGGATGTGGTTTGAGACTTTGAGGCCTCTAATACTTGTCTGTAACAAATTTCTTTGATCTATCAGACTGCTGTGAAAATTAATCTGGAGATTTTTGCCATTGTTCTTTGATGGGCTATACATTTTTGCAGCTGCTCCATTTTGGAGATTAGATGTAACTTTCTTCTTGATACCGTTGTCTGGAAGAGACAGCGTTTATGAATCTTATTGATCCAAGAAGTGGTAGCATGGAACCATTCATCTTGCCAATGCCATGTGCTGAGCCAGTGATAAGGCTTGTTTGTTTCTTTATGCTGGGAGATGAGGAGGACCACTTAAAAATAGACCTAATCTATTGGCATCATATGTAGGAAGTTGAAGCAATTGTAAGAAATTGAGATAACTGTTGCAAGAGATCTAGTGAGAAGCTTGCATGTCTGCATCCTTCATTGCCTCTAGCTGTTAGTCCAAGGCATCACTCATTTGCATATTTTGCTAAAATTCAGTGCATCTATCTCTTCTCTCCCAATGAACTTTCAGCGTTTGTTCTCATTAGAGGCCTGACGAAACCATTCGACAGGTTCCCAAGGATTTTCTCTTACAGATCCTTGGTGAAGACCGCGTCACCAAGTTTGTGATCCAAGAAATAGTTACTTCAACAATGGCTGATTATGTGAAAAGGGTAAGTCTTTGTTGGTAATTTTATGTAGACCTGAATAGGAATGATCTAGTAACACTGGAAAGTCTGTGACTTCAGGAAAACCTGACTCTGAAAGAGAACAAAATCAGCACAACCCAGACAGCAGAAGAACTCAAATCAACATTTGCTCCTGGAAAAAATTTCGGATTCAACACTGTAGTGGAACTTGAAAGTCCAGAAATTGAGACATCAAGTTCCACCTCCAATGACTTGTAGAATTTTTATTCTTTATTAAATAAAAAGGGAGATACTCAGTAAGTTCTGTCTATCGTTTTGGTTTATTCCCCTTTATCACAAATTTTTGCCAAATTGAAGTTAGTTTTGCTTGGTACGTTCTTACATTCTTTCTAGGCATCAATAACATGAGTCTGTACATTTGTGTGTGGTCGATAAACTCCTTGGACTTCATATATCATACGGATATGGATCTTTAATTTGGAATAATAATCTCAATAGAAAGATCTGGACTGACCCTTCCCATATCTTTGTCAACTTTTCTCTATCTCGTTTGCTATTGAACCATCTGTTCGGCATTACTTTGCATGTTTGTACTAAGCAATGCTTATATGTAGCCCTCTTTGCTTTCTTTCTGTAACAGAGGCAATATTTACAAATAAATCATGTTGGTTCCCCAGCTTATGCGCCTGTAGAAATTGCATTGGCCTTTGTATATTCTTTTGCAAATTAGGAAGGAAAAGAAGTAAATTAACTTTTGACAGTATTTTTGGAGCACTTGATGAAAGTGTTTTTATATAAAATCGAAACCTTTTCCTCTCGATAGCTGCTGAAGCTCATAAGTTTTTTTGGTTTCGTCTGTGTACCTAAATGGTGAAACGAGATAAGCAAGATAACTTATCTTTTGCATGGTGAGATAATTACTCATCTAATCTTTTCTCATCATTGAGCACAGGAACCAGAAATAGGGATAGACCACACCCCCAATACAAGCCCAGGAATATCCCAACTTTCAAGACCCAAGAGCCAACAGGCCCACCCCACACTTATCAGCCAAGCCCAAAAATTCGCCACAGTTGTAGCCTACCCAAACAAATCAAGCCTAGATTAAAACCTGCACAGATTCGTTTCAGCAAATATTGCAGGAAAAAGAACCGAAAAAGTCTTAAATCCGTTACATTAATATTAATTCAGCTTTAAACCTTTCGATCAGACCAATTTAGTTATAAGCTTTTTATATTTACACCAACTCAATTCATTTGGCCAACTTTGGCCGATAATCATTAACATAGAAGACTGTCCTACGTGACACGATTGATGCTAACGTAGATAAATTTTGCAAAACATTTTTTTTTCTAAATTAAAATATTTTTTCTTTTCTTTTTCTTTTCATTGTGGCCGGCAACATTGGCAAAGATTGTGGCCCTCGACCAAGCAAGCCCTCGCCAGATCTAGCGGGGGCGGCCCATGCCTAGCCACGAGGGTCAAGCCCTCACCAGAGGCTACGAGTCGCCAGCCACAATGGAAAAAAAGAAAAGAAAAAATAATAAAAAATTTAGAGAAATGTGATCTTACAAAACCAGCAGAAATCTTACAGCACTGCTTCAGTACTTACACATGAAAAAAATATCGCCAATAGGATTGATTAAAAGGAGATGCATTGCCAAGATTCTTGCTTTGGCAGCCGAGTGTTCCCGTTACATTTTATCCACAAACCATTGACACAAATACAGTATCAATCTTCGACCAAAAAAAAAAAAATAAAGTATCAATCTGCAACTTGTATGCTACACACCATTATCATTCTTCCTTCGTCCTTCCTTGAAACAGGTGATGGCGCAGCATTGAGTCTCAATGCAGCAAAAAGGTCAAGAATACAAGTGAAAATCGATAGGCCTCAGAAATTGTATTTGAAGTAGCTATTCTTCCATGCAGTTCTCCAGCCTACTACCTTCACATACTGAGCCATGGGTTTCCTTTTCCGGCCTCTGCAGAAATAATTGTGAGGAGGAGGACCATAATCTTCGACCAATGTTGCTGAAGAGTATGCACTCATGGATATCCATGCTATCAGTAGCTATTGATTGACTGTACAAGAAGAAAAATTGATCACCGTCTTTCAAGTTTCTTCCACAAATTAAGAGCTCTTCGAATGATTGGATCAGCTGAAAATCCTTCGGCATATGCACCAATGGCTTTTAGTAGGCTGGTGAATTTCTCCCCATTATCCTGTAACCATGCCAAGGTTAAAGGTAAAGCTCGTGAGTTCCTTATATGCAGCTGCGAAGAACATTATGAACAAATTTATTATGTGCAAAGATATCTGTGGTGCTGTATATAGTATTCATAGTAGGTGCTGGACAACAAAATCAAGTGCTTCCACTTCATAATTTCACGGGAAGAAAGAAATCAAATGAGCTCACGTTCTTTCACTCCATCAAAAAAGTATTTGAAGTGCCAGCTTCTGTTTTTTAGTTGGGATATAAGTGATAACAACCCTAGCACAACCGATGTGGTGAATGAGTGGCCAGTAGCAACCTAAAACTACAGTGCCTCATGTTTCTAACGAATGATGAAGTACTCATGCACTTCCTCCCCTCAACCTTGGGCTTGGGAATCACGGGAGGCAGCACAAACTTCATCACCTCCGAAGTCAGAAAAGAAAACCTTGATTTTAGTCAATCCTGTAAGTTAAAACTGTGCCAGATGTGAGCTCACAAAAAGAAATTAACTAAACCAAACAGTACGTGCATTGCCAAATTATCTGCCTTTCATGAATTCGATCGATCGATCGATCGATCGATCGAGAGAGAGAGAGAGAGAGAGAGAGAGAGAGAGAGAGAGAGAGAGTTTTATTGATTACACAAACCTCAGGTTTCTTAAATGCGATATCTTCGGTGGTGAATGGTACCATGTAGAACGGAAGATCAGAACGTATTAATGCCTGAAAAATAATTGAAAAGGAAAAACAAATCAGTCAGTCAAAAACCAAGGATTCACCTTAGGGAATATGTATTTATGAAAAGGAGATGCAGTTAACATGAAACTTGTAATTCTATTCAGTGCATTACTATCAAGATATTAGAGAAAAAGCAGGTTATGATACCAAGTTCTTGCTGAGGATAGCATTATCAGCCTGCGCTATCAAAGCCTGCATGAAAAAGGTCACATTACTCGGTAATCTGATTAGAGACACGTTAATTATCCATTAAGAGCAAGTGAGCAATTGAACCATGTGTCCCTAAAAAGAAGAGAGAGAGTTTATGATCACAGATATTCTATTCGACGATGAAGCTATGAATGAAAAAAAAAATGCTTGGATTTGTCTGATTCATTCCCACTTATAAGTAACATAAGAGTAACCTTTCTTATCCGTTCCTCTTCAACTTGATCCACACATTGCAACAAATTTTCCAATGTGCCTGCCAAGGCAATAAAATAACTTCCAAGTCATCAAGCTGAATAATTTACTTGGTATAAAGGCAAAAATTGCAGCTAAATGAGTACAGGAAGAGAACATTGACATTGACCTAACTACATATCGACATTAATGTATAATTTCAGGTACATGATTGTAACACGATGCTAAATAAGCTTTAAAGGGATCAAGAATGAAGGCAAAATGTTACAGTGAACTTTGTTGATAGCATGCTCATAGCTAAATTTTAAATACTTGCACCACATTGGTGATATTCACAAATCTGACAAACTATTGGTCAACAATCAGTACCAGCAAAATATCTTATTATCCACCATAATAGCACCAGAAAACACCCCCTCATACATCTGATAGGCATCCTCTTCACGAGGTGCCATGGGATCCATACTAAATTAATTTAAACGGAAAATATGTACATGTAACTCTTTTTTATAAGTTTGTTAATGTTAAGACTTAAGAAACAAGTTTTGACCTTTGTCCACTTGGACACAAAACGCATACAACTATGTCAGACCAAAACAAACTTACCAAATTTAGTAATCAGTTGCACAGCATGCACATTGCCAATCCCTTCGACTCCTGCATTAAAATTAACGATGCCTCAATCATCGATCTCAAAAATATGCAATGTCTTTTCCAAAAATTGCGAAAGATTTAGACATTTTGAAATGTGCCATCAGCAATCTCCTTCTATGCTCTAATCCAAAAAAAAGGATGACAAACAGGGCCCCTTCTTAGTGTTTGTGCCATCACTGTGTGAACTAATTGTCAGGATTATGGTATGGACATGATTCAATAAAGCCAAAAAGGCTAACAGCATGTCATGCTAGGTCGTATGTTCATGTCATGTCAGAAACTGCCCCCTCTTTCAAGGGGATGTAATTTCAGTCTTTAAACCACTGCTTAACCAAAGTGGATAATGAAGAAAGCACAGATGAACCAGTAAGGTCACCATCACCATCAAGGTGATATACGCACTATCTATGATCAAGTGACCAATAAGAACTAGAATATTACCTGGGATATTGTCGCATTTGTCACCTACAAGCGACACGACATCAACAAATTGAGAAGGCTCTAGAGCTCCATATTTTTTAGCAAAATCCTCCATCCCAAAGGAGACCATACTGCCAAAATGAGAGAGTAACCGTGAAGACCCCAACCCCAACGGAAAGGTAATCACAAGATACACGAAGAAAATGTATGATTATATAACTTTCTAAAGTTGAGTGGGCAACTGTATATTTTAGAAGCTTAAGTTGATAGAGAATATAATGACCAATATTTAGATCTTAACACTTTGTTTCAAGCAAAAGAATAGATGAAACCCAACATGGATAAAGAACACAACCCATTCATTATATAAGAAATCAAGCTAGAGGCCTCATCATCTTAAAGTTGAGTAAGATGTTTGATGTAAAAGCTTCAATTATTCACGAATAACAGAAATTATAACTATGTGTATGACAAGGTCAAATATCAAAATGCCCACGTTTACAGATGAAAATTCCAATTTATTTAAAGAAAGAAAGCTGTATACTTTAGCAAGAGGCACATGAGTAATCAATCAATAAACATTTATATTAAGTGTCAGATTTTTTCCATAAATTGCGCATCTGGATCTGGAAGAATGAAAAATTTTAGATCTCTATTCATACTGCTTCTGTGTTAGACATTTCAGAATTTTAAAAATGTAGCCATCAAACTCTACTCAGTAGTCAGTATCATATCATCCGTACAATCTACATACTCAAGGTCATTTTTAGATGTTTGCCCCATGTCCTATTACACCTATCCTATCTGATACATTTCTGACTTGCACCCTTGCTAAAATGGTCATTTCATGTACCATATCAACCTAAAATAAGTCTCCACCCCCGATTGTCAATTGAGACCACAAAAATATATGATACATCTTTCTTAGACAAACATGTCTTTTTGTAGCATTTACACATCCACCAAAGCATCCTCGTTGAGGATACAATCCTATTGTCTAGTCTCCCCAGGAACTCCTCTCATGAATAATTACCTTTGACCGACACTGAACAACTGCAGAGAACATCAGTGCATAGCACTCTCCATTACATCCCTCCCACTTGAATCCTATGAGATGTATCCATCAACATTTCCTATTTGTTGAAATTGGCCCAAGATATTAGGATGAGTGATCTCAAGCAGAAAACAGAAAAACATCTAAAACCAAATCTCAATTCTCAGTGCTGAAATTCGAAGTCTTTTCTCAACCACTCTCTCCATGTTGTATGTATTGCAGCACAGAAAAATATTATAAAGTATGTTCTAGTTCAAATTCATAAGAAACAATTACCATGAAGACCTCTTTTTTTATCACCACATAGAGAAATTAACAAAAGCTAAACCAATTTTAGGCAAAGCAATGAGTGACTTTCTACTAACTCAAGACCACGCGGAGCAATGCGCAGAAGACGTAATGTAGGAGACAAAATCTGGAAAAAGTCCTTGTCTGGGGAGACGACTCGAACCTGTGGCAAAATGAGCACAAGTAGGATTACTAATTATGGATGTGGAAATACTGAAATCATCTGAGAATCTGATTGAAGAGGTTGACGAAAAGATATACTGACAGACAACAAGAACATGGGGATTGCTTGGTGCATGCTTTTAATAGATGATATGATACTGGTGAATGAGATTAGGGTGGGACTAATAGCCATGAACTATGGGGACTGGCCTTGCCCAAGTCCTTACCTTGACCACAAGGAGAGAAGGAGAGGAGCAAACATTAAAAATCTATTGGACTTTCATCAAAGTAAACACCGAAGTAGAAAGGATGCAGCTTTTGTATATAAGAGGCTAACTGAATTAGTAGTGAGAGCTGGAGACCAAGAAGTTATTACTGCATCTTCAGTCCATTTTGCAGAAAGATGGAAGGACCATTCAGTTATTATTATTATCAATATAATAGGGACAGGTGCAGTAGACTGTCACGATGAAAGCTATATTTGATTGAAGAATGCCACTTAAGCTAAAGATAAGATTCACAGGATTGCAATAAAGACAAGCTAGGCTCCATGAGATGGATTGTTTCACGGTCTACAGGTCAAGTATCGGCATATAGTATATAATCAAAGTGAAGGTGCTTTGATTTATATGTGAGCTTTATTTATGAAAGGAGAAATGAAAATGAGTACACCTGAGAAAAGGTTGTGACCCCTATTAAGCACAAAAGATTGACGGCAACAAGTAGCTCCAGTAGAAAGACGCACTACATGCACAGAGTACACTTCAGAACGTGTAAGAAGAGGCTTAAGAAACAAGGGTTGGAACCCTTGAGCACAAAAGAAGTATAGATCTTAAATGGTTCATGGACAGAATAATGCATGGGGACAGAAGGATCCACATAATAACCAACTTTCAGGGAAGATTGGTTTATGGTTGTTGTATCACCATTTGGTCAATGAAAGATGAAAGGGTCTGTCATATAGACTATGAAAGTACTCTCATTGCTCAAAAGCAAGCTGGAGCACGAGAATCATCATCACAGAAGTAAAACTCTTCTTTAAGTGAAAAAGGACAATACCTTGTAGCCTGCCTCAACACTCCTTACAGCCAAGGTTCCAATCACATCGTCAGCTTCAACACCAGGCACCTGCAACCGACATAGCTCCTGACTGGTCAGCCCAAACCATAACAAAATCAATAATTTGCCATAACCAATCCCTCAGAAATCCCCTCAACAATTCAAAGCTGCACTTGTTTGAACAAATATCAAGAGATCGTGAAAGAAATCAGTGATGAAACGTTTTTCCAAGATGAGGATTGGAAGGCCACCCTTTCTTTGTCTGTAAATCTCACACCTGCCACTCCTTTTTTCACTCTTCAGTATATTTATTATGGAAATAGGCAACTGATAAATCATGTACCTCAATTACTTTGATGGACATGGCCTTGATGGATGCTTTTAGGTATTGGAGTCCCTGGACAACGGTGTCTGGTGTGGGGGGACGGTTGCTCTTGTATGTTGGGTACAAAGTATGCCGAAAATTCAGACCTTCAATACATCCAAGAATGCATCATCGTTTTTGCTGGTATTTCAAACAATTTAATTAAATGGACAAGTGAAGTACAAAAAATAAATGCAGAATGACGTAAAGAATGTGAACAAGGAATTGCTGCAATATCTTAATCAGCTATCGTGCTTCATGTTCAAGAAAGAAGTCGAAATGCCAATTCAAGGCCCTGCTTATCAAATGTTTAATGTGAGAAAAGTCATTAAAGGAATCTATACGAAAGAGAACCCCTTTAACATTATGGAGTCTTACTCAACATACAGGAGTATGCCAATACATCCGACTTCACTCTTGAAATTAAATATGAGTGCTTAGTGACAAGTACTCTAAAAGTAAAAAAGGCACAAAAACATTCACATAATGAAGAAAATAAGCCGTATTTTAAAAAAGACATTTTCCTGCATCTGAACATTCCATTGTCCAAATATAAGATGATCATTCTCTTCCCAAATACATCGAGGGAAATCCTCCAATCGCACTGGTAATAGACCCTTCAGGCAAAGTTCGAAGTTTGTAAATGTTCCTTGAAATTGCCTCAACATAATAATACTCCCTCACATGAAGGCCCAAAGAATGACAAAAGCCTGAAGCGTGTAAAACCCTAGCATGTGTGTGAAACAATGGCCAAACCCCATAATATAAAGAGAGGTCACCAATAAATGGGAAGCATGAGAAATCAAATAGAAGCATTGTTGGCTTGATACCATGTTTAATTGAGTGCGCAATCAATTACTCCAAAAACTTAAGCTTGCAGAGAGTGGCGTAGTGTATTCCATATCATAACAGCTTCTATTTACAGCAATTAAAAAGATATTACTCTCTGAGGCACGTTTCTTAAAACATCTTCTGACATTATATTAATAAAATAATCAAGTTAATTCCCTTCCATGGATAAATAAGCAGGTCACCACAGGTTAACAACAATATCTCCTGTTCTAAACAATGACCTCTGAACTAATGATGTCAGACAATATTCGAGAGAAGGATGATGTCAATCATCTTCCACAGTGCAATACTCATTTAAGAGAACTCCACACGAAAGAGGGGCATGTAAATCCCCTGCATATAATAGACTTAAATGATCATGTATGAACGACCTCTTATTTGTCATACTACACGAAAACATCACTTCCTTGGGTTGAATATGGCCCAACTATTCTAACTAATCATCGAAAAAAGAACTTTGAAAAGCATACCTTTAGCCATGACACTTTCTTTCAACGGATTAAAAGTATGACCAAATGGAATTCCTGAAAATAAAAGGTCCCCTTAGTATAATTTTGCTTAAAACTACTAGTGCAAGCCAAGCATCTCACAATCGCCAACTAAACATTTTAAATTAACCACAAAGATATGATCAAAAAAAAAAAAATTAACCCCAAAGCAATACACACGGTTTACACAAGGACTGAAACAACAATGTGAATTTGCAGAAATAAAGCGGCATGAAAAATTACAACATCAGTTACTAGCAAAAGATAGTCCAGAACTTCCAGTGCTTTTAAAGAATCATCTCTTGTTCTCATGCACACTCCCAATGTACATAGGCAATACTCAGTTAGAAGGTCAGGTAAAACTCTATCAAAGAATTGCTTTAAAATCGAAAATTAAGTTGCAATAGAACAGAACTACAAGAATCACCTACACCACCACCCCTTCGCACATGGCACAAAGAGAGAGAGGGAGAGAGAGAGAGAGAGAGATGCACGGCAAGAAGGAAGCTTTCATAGGATGCTTTCCCAGGAATTAATGCACTAAGCTTCAGCTTTCAATTATTTTTGTAATTAAGAGCTCAAAGAACTTCTTAATTGTAGCAAGAAATCAGTTAATGTTATTTAATGTATTTCCAAACCATACTAATAATTTGCCATTAAACATTTCGAGTTAAGAAATTGCAGAATCAAACAAATTGTGCTCTCTTAAAAAATGGCTAAAAATATGGTATGGGGCAGCTATACACTTAAGCGATAGAATGATAAACGATTATAACAGATGGTGCTACCAGGAGACCATGGTCTCAAAGAAGGGACAGTAAGAGAACAGGAAGAGCCGCTGATTAGGACAAAATTTCTACAAAGTTAGTTCCAATCACCTATTTACCATTGAATAAAGAACACAAGCTTTGTAAAGAAAAACAAGTCAACGAAAATACGGTTCCACCAAACACTTAATTACTCATAATCTAAACTACTAAAAAGAACTAAGCATAATCTCTTCCATTAACCTTCCCCCCTTCTGTCACATTCATTGAAGCAAACATAAATTCATGAAAGTCCAGCCAAACAATATAAAGTAACATGAAGGGCTCCTTGAAGTGACGGACAATTAATTCCTCAACAGATTGTTCTAATGTTCAAAATGATGTAACTTTTGGCACACATTCACAAAGGACCTAAGTTCCCAAAAATTTCAGGGACTCATTAAACATGCTAGCTAACAACCCCACCAATTGCTATACCTAGTGAATATTCCAGTTTAATACTTCACTATTGAAATTTTTTAAAGTTTCAGGATAGCGACAACGATGAGATTTCCTGAATGCAGATGTGTTCATTGATTGACCAGTGTATTAGTGAAATAGAAGTTAATATTATTCAAGGCTTACCACATTTCGATCATGTGGCTCACAATTTTTATGAGAACACTATGTATGTGTGTGAAGATCTTTCGAGTTATTCACGAGCAGAACTCAGAAAAGAACAAAATTTCTAGTTCAGAAGCAGACCAATGGATTTCTTAACTCTCTTCTTCATCCAATCATGTGTCATTGACAAAAACATAAAACCATTTCATGACGTAATCATTTAAAGATCATGGCAGTCCAAAAGCCCAAAAGTCACAACCCATAAACAAAAAAAAAAGGAAACATAAATAAACAAGAAATTGTTTGTCCAGAACATTAACAAAATCATAAAATTATTTTGCAAGATAAGCATTCGAAGATCCTGGCATTTCCAGGAACCAACAACCCAGGAAAAAGAGACGCTGTTCACTTCAAAGCATATAGTTTATTTGTTCACTCTCAACTAAAACCATCTGGTTAACTAATCTATAAAGAGGAACAAAAGAGCAGCTCCTCGGAAAAAGCATGCAAATGCCTAAAAGAAATTTCTTCAATTAAGATTAATTTCAGGACAGGTATAATAACAGTGTCTCAAAGGCATTCGTCAACTAAAACTTGCTCATTGCAGAGGAAGCACTAAAAGAGAATTTGCATGCTTATTATCCTATGCCAAATATGACTAAGAATGATTTTAGTGTACTAGCTTTATTTCTATTCCCGTTATACTATTTGGGTAAATTTAAAGAAAGCACGCAGTTTGAAGAAAAATATAAATGAGAATTAAATGCATCTACAAAAATTGAAGAGACTTCTGAAGAAAATGAAATCGCGAAGGCTAACTCTCACCATCATGGTCGAATACAACCTGCAGGGAAAAAAATACTCAAAAATAAGCAACATATATTTGCTAGGGGAATAAAAAAAGCAAATGAAAAAATGAAAGAAACAGACTTGTAGAGATTCTCACAGCATCCATAAAATATTGTCAAACCGAACATGAAATACCAAGTCTCACAAATTTAAGCAAATAAATGCTAGCATAATTTCTACCGCCAAAGATAAAAAAACTCTAGCTTGATACAAGTGCAAATGAGGGGCAAATGCTCAGAAAACATCTCAAGAAGCCTTTAACTATATTAGTTTGACAGATTGTTTTACAAAATGAGGAATAACATAATGGCTAGCAACTGTGAATACAAATATAGATCTCTAAAGGGAGATGAGGACTTACTGCCACATGGGAAGGGGCGAATTCAAGGACATCAATAATCTGCAGCAGAAACAAGAAAAAGTTAAAAAAACCAGGAAAAAAATTTAAGTGAAAAGATGAATAATGATGAAGAAAAAGTTCTCCGTGCTTCCAAAGGTGAACAATCCTACGTGAGAAGAGGCATCAAATGCCACAAGACAGTCGGGATTAAAAAACAGAGTCTTTTTTTTATTGGAACAATTTTATACCATGTGAAACAGATATAATAAACCACACATCCAGAAGATAAGTTAAGGATGGGAATAACTGATGAAACCAGCTTGAATTTATATTGTGATGCACTACTTGCAGAATAACTAGCGTCAAACTATCAGTGGCCAAAAGAACACTCTTCTTGTCATGTAACATCTAATCATCACTTGCTAAGTCAATAATTCATTTCAAGATCAACGTTTATTTTCTTTACTAAGAAATGAGCTCAATTATATATTTATTATATGAGATAATTATAAAAGGTTGATTGCCTCTAATTCTCCTTTCACGAACAAGAGAGCTTTAGGCATAAAACCATGCCATTAAGATTAGAGCGGTCAAGTCAATCTCGGTCTATCAAAAAATTAGGGCATGGCAATGCTGCAAGGAAGAGAAAATCCTTTTAGGAGTATGGTCAAAGGACAGAAGATCCTTTTAGGAAGCAACATCTTCAAAGGTTGATTATAGGTTAAATTTTTGCAACCCAATTGCGGTGATTAGGGGTCCCTTTTAACCCTAGGAGGGGGAATGCAAAGCCAATATAGATCAAAGGGCCTAAGCCTATTCGCTGGTCCAACCCACAAATAACATTCAACCATTTTATTGCCCCACTTGGTTATAAGCTCACATTACTTAACTAGTCGGGTCATCATTGGTCAACTGCATGCATGTGAAGTTCGTCTTTTGACTGAAAGTTGCAAGATATGTGTATGCACTAGTGGATGCAGTTGATTCAATATGATGCTTAAGACCTTCTACCAAAAGGCCCCTATTACCCATTTCAAACAAATAGACACCATGTTGAAAAATGGACGCACGATCGGCACTCTCATAAAAAACGTCATGAAATAATCAAAAAGTATGCCAACTGGACCGCACAGAATTAAATTTCTAAACTGCAAACTCATTGTAAGACAGGAATTGGTGGGAACGCGTCACTATGAGAAATTGAAATTCCTTCCAGTTTTAAGTCATTGCAACAAATTAAACCCAAAGGAGTAATTAAGTCCATGATGCTCAAGCATACTGACATAAGTTAGAAGACATCCTAAAACCGTCCAACTTTCTAAACCCAGATCAACAAAAGCACGATGAGTAAAAAAGGGCAAAAGTCAAATTATACATAGTAGAGGAAAGTTCTTTAGGCGGTGATACGCAACTAAACAAAATATACCAAACATCCAAGCATGACTGAAAAAAAATTAGACCTACTGCATAGGTAAGTTACTCAACCCAAAACATGGATAAATATCGGTTCTTTGGGTAAGTCCGTACGACATTTGTAGCTATGCTATGATATCCCCGAGCGGAACAACAAAAATCGAGCAAGTCTCCTCTTAAGTCTCAAGTCTTATCCAACATGCACAACGTCCTTTTTTACATTATCAACAGTAAGTGCACTGCCATTATATCACCAAGATTTACCATTTTTAGCAAGGGCTATAAAATTCTTCACAAAGAAGAGAATGCTGTAGACATTTCACCAAAGCTCATACAAAGACATGCAAAGTCCAATAATGATTTCAGTATTAATCAAGGACTATATGAATGAAGACACCAATTGATTATACACGCTGACAACATCTTACAAGAGATAAAGCCGTAACAATAGTCAAAACCCAGTCTCCATTCCCATCTGCATGTGGTAAGTGCCCATGATGCAACCTGGCTACTCTTAACCAAGAAAAGTAAACAAGTTTATTAATTAATAGAAACATTCACCATTAAAGAGACAGGAAAGAGAACAATTAACAAAAATATAGATGCTTCACTGATGTACGTTACAAACTACTACAGTGATTTGTGCATACAAAGTGTCGGGTCAAGGAGTCAAAATAATTCTTGAAGACATCATGCTACAGTGAAGTTCATAGAAGTTTTGGCACAAAATGTCCAAGATGCATGTATAAAGTATACAATAGCCAACATAGATTTGAAAAAGGTAATCCAAAGCTTGCGGAGGTTTAGTCCCTTAAGATTGACTTTTAATATTGCTGTCACTTGGATACCAACAAAGAATGGCATTTTTTCTCTTGCTAATGCTTGATGCACCTCTTGGAAATTCACCTAAAGTTTCTCAGCAGAGGGTGCTTCAGTTTACTAATCATATACCAAAACACAGCATTTCTGCCAGGTTATAATACAAGTTTGTCAGAATGCTAATGTCTCAAGGACATGTGTTTCATGTTCTGGAGAAGATGGATCATGGAGCCAATTGTTCTGGGATTGCCCCATGTCAAATGACAGTACGGACAAGATTATTTAAATTGGGTTCTAGGAACAGAAACTGTTGGATCACGGGATCAAGAACTGCAATGGAGTACTCCGCATCTTCAAGGGATATTTTGAAATTTTCAAAGTTAAAACTCCATTGTGTTGCCTGCATCTATCGCTTGTGGAGGTCTTTTAATCTTGCAATTCATTAGCAGATACCCATAGTTGCAGATTCCATTCATAAAGCAGTTGATCTTAGGTAGTTACTGAATGGGAAGAAGTTAGTTGTAGTAACAGGGGGATAACACTTGATTGATCCATTTGTTAATATGCTTTAGCCTGTAGCAGGAGTGGCAATATAACCATCTTGGGTGTTTTGCCAATAAAACTCTAAATTATCACGAGGGGAAAAAAGGCATGGTGAAGTTGCTATTTCAATATTCACTTAGTTGAGAAAATTCGTCCATGCTATTAACCAAAATCTAGTGTCAGAACTGCCATTCCCTTTTTAACTTCCCTTACATCCATCCCATAATAAACAATGGTCAAGGTGCTTATTATATCTTCATTTAGTAGACACCATTCTTTGGTAGTCTAATATAAATCTAATTTCAATGCTGCTTTATATTAGAAATGTGGGACACAAGGAGAAGAACCAAAATTTGCTATGTAGTCAGCCCCACAACAAAATCAGAAGAAAAAGTAGAAGGATTCAGCAGGCGTAGCATGACATACCCAAAAGCTTGTAGTATGCTCTATATATGACTGATGTGCCATCAATTAGCATTACCCTGCCACTGGAAGGATCAGCCTTTGCTTCTCTTTCTTCCTGATTGACTGGATCCAAAAGTGCATCTTGGCCTACTGAAGGACTAGTTTTAGAAGGAATCACCGAATTCCTAGGAGAAGTTTCAGTGGCAACTCCAGGTAGAGTTGAGAACGAACATTTTGCCAGCATATAGTGGCCCTGGAAAAGAGAGAGATAATGAAATGTAACAGAAGCTAATCCAAGAAAAGAGTACCTAAAAATGTGTATAGCCATAGGACATCTTGTGCCATGAATGAAATCTGTAAACAAGACGTCGGATTGCCAATATAATCCTGAATTCACTCTCTCAGATTTTATTGCAGATTTCTGTAAGGACAAAAGTTTTATGTTAATTTCAATTTTGCAGAAACTTCTAATTGTCCCTCAGAAGTTCATGAAACAAATTTATTTTCTCCTCCTCTTCCATATTTTCCATTAAGTTATGGGAGGCAGCAGCCATTCAAGGAAACAAATATTAAACATAAAGATTCCCGTCAAGTTGGTCCCCTTTTATGCAGTGGCGTCGAGGGACAGCTGGATTAAGAAGTATCCTGTTGAATGAGAATCAGAGAAAAGAGAATTTGGTAGATGATTGCTATGTGTGTCCACGCATGCGTGAAGGCAGCAAAAATAGCAAATCATCTCTTGTTGCCTTGTGAACGTGCATTTGTCATTTGTAAGTTGTAACTCAATCCTCAGATATAGGAGAAGTTCATCGCATGATGATAAAACCAGTGAAGAATCTGATTTGTTGCTGCCACATTGGTGCCACTTCTCAGTTTAAAAGATAGACTAAGAAGATGGTTCCGTATTACATAATATGAAATAATGAACAAGGAGACAGCGCCCTTACCAAAAAAAAAAAAAACAAGGAGAAAGCAACATAGGGTGAAAATTAGACTAACTTACTAGAGGAGAAGGAGGAGGGGGAGGGGGAGGGGGTGGTTTGGAACTATTGTCAGCAATCCTCCAAATTAACTTCTTCTGAGACTTTATGTTTCAATGCTAATTGCATTGTGGTAAGAAAGATGATCTGTCTCTAAGAATTTCAATCACTGTAGGTCTCTTGAATACTTGTTCACGAATGAATTTCTTCCTTACCCTTCAAAAGATTTTCAGGGCAATATAGCATTGCACCGTAAACCAGTAGCTTCCACTAAGGATAGATATTTCTACGACCACCTCCACTTGCTGGCAATATCTTGTTCTATGGGCTTGCAACTCAATGTACTTGATTGAGTTCAACAAAGCTTCAACAAGTGAACTGGCAACTATACTCACTAAACAGCACTACCAACCGACCACAACAACACCAAAGATCGTAAAGTAGATGGACACGACGTCGACCAGAAAAGGCCCATAAAAACATGCCACGATTGTTACCTTCCTCGGCGAAATGGGTAGACGGTTTGCGGGATTCAATCTGCCAATGCTTCTGGCTCTTGTCAAGTTACTCCAGGAGCAGATGAAACACCTCCACAGGGAATGAACGTGGACGCTCGCGGATTGATGGCACGCCATGCGATCGCAGCAACAACACTCAGGCAACTACGGCATTGAAAGCGATCCCCCCGAATCGTTCGGCGCGACCTGAAATGCGAAAAACCCAGGAGTCTCAAAATCGCTAGCGGTTATCACGTTTCAACCGACCAAAAAACCCTCCGTCGCTTGTCCGAATTCTGACACAACTCGTCGCGTGATTCGACTGTCCGGCTACGTTAGCCACCGAAACTGCCGGAGGCAGCAATCCGTAGCTTGCACAGAGCAGAGAATTCTCAGCAGCACGAACTTCACTGCGGGTGCATAGAGAGAGAGAGAGAGAGAGAGAGTTACAGTGGCTGATTACGAGGATTCTCGGCTTCGCTCGTCGGAGAAGTTCGGAGATGGCGGAGGAGATGAAAGCGCACGACGGCTGTGTCGTCTGATTTTTTTGAACCCGTCGCTCTATCGGAGCTCGGAAGAAAATGGAGCGAGAAATCCGGTTCGATCGTCCGGAGCCGGTCTGAACTCGTTCAATGGGAGCGAGCGGTCCGGTTCGATTCTCAAGCCGGTCTAAACCTTGTCAATTCTTTGTTGGACTTGTTACTTCATTGCTCGAAAGAAAAATGGCACGAATGATCCTTGAATTTTGGTTAAATGTGTGTAATGTAATTCCTGAATTTTTAATTTATTTGATATTGTCCCTGAACTTTATATTAATGTGCAATGTAGTCCATTATTTTTAATTTGTTCAATATGATTTCTGAATTTTGAGTACATGTTCAATTTAGTTTTTGAACTATATAAAAATGTTTATCATTGTCCTTTCACTAATTCAATTTCAAGGAAAATATTGAACATTTTCATACAATTGGGAGATTAAATTGAACATGCACTAAAAGTTGATGGATCACATTGAACACATTAAAAATTCAGGGATGACATTGCACATTGAGCTAAAGTTCATGAGCCATATTAAGCAAATTAGAAATTTAGGGACTATATTTCATATTTGACCAAAATTCATAGATTATTTGTGTAATTATTCCAAGCTTGGAACAGTGTGGTGCAATCTTCCTTTTGTCGCCGGAGGGTATTGATGTCAAAGCACACTCCCATTTTCAAACGCGAAAAGACGCGCTTCTCTTTCAACCTCCTCAAAACTCAAACCCGCATTTACACAGAGAGAGAGAGAGAGAGACAGATGCTATCGACTCGGATGAAATCGTCACAGCGATCGAGCACAGCAGGAATGGTGATCGCCAAGGTGGTTTCCCCCCCGCAAGAACCCTAATCCTGCCCCCCCGATCCTTGTTTCCTCCGTGCCTTCTCGCGTTTTTCTACGGATGTCGAATCTGCCTAGAGCGCGTAGATTTCGTTGTTTTTGCTTCTGATTGCCATCTTCTTTTGCGCTTTCTTGGTTGAAACTCTCAGGCGAAACTTAAAGGAGGCCTGAATCCATTCGCCGAGGAATCCTCCAAGAAGAAGAACGGTACGAGTTCATTTTTTTTTTTTTTGTGGAATTTGAATTTTCTTTTGATCTTTTGTACTTGGCGTGGCGTTCCTGATGCGCACGGTCGCTTTTTGATGGAAGCAGTCGGCGCCGGCAAATTCAAGGTTTTCACGGATGCCGAGAAACTCGGAACTGATAAGGCTGCGGACAGATTGTGAGTTGTTCGAATCATTCGTTCGGTCTCTTCGTGCTCTGCAAATCTTGCCTTCTGATAGTCACTATGCTTAGTCTTAAGTTAATATTTTCTATTTTTTCTTGTTGGTTACAGAAAATCTGCGACCGGATTCAGCATGCCTCCACGGTAAGAGACATCTCTGAACTTCCCTTGTGGAATTACTACTATGAGGGAATATTTGATGAGTCTCTTTTTGTTTTAGACACGTCCAGTTTTTTTTTTATTTTTTATGATGGATTATCTGGTAGTGTTCAGCTTCATTATCAGGAGATAAGTCCCATGTCGGTAATATATAAAGAAACTTATCCAGTGCTTGAGCTCTTTCTCCCCGATGTTTACAGTGTGAGTTGTTTAAATGCTTAGATATCGAGTGGCACCAGAACCAAATTCAGACCTCCATGTAGAATCTTGAAAAAGTTATCTAGGCCTGGCTGCTTGCAGGTCATGTCATTGTTTGCACTTGGTAGACTTTGAGTTGAGGAGGCTATATTGGCCGATTAGTGTCCATGGAGTTGAACCACTTAGATTGCGGGACACCATGATGCTCATTACACTAGAAATTCTGTGTTCATCATTAATTCCCTGGTCTCCTTTCCAAAATTTATGTGAGGTGACAGGTCAAACATTTCACCCGTAATTTCATATCAGAAGCTGCCTACAACCATTTTTGTAACAGTACTAGGCAATTTGGCTTGTGGTAGACCTGGTATTTTGCCGCTAGAAAGCCTATCAACAACTATTTTACTCCAAGGTGATGTTTTGGTTGTTTTAGCCATAATATTTTTTGTATTATCTAGTTTGTCTTCTTTGTTCTTGCAGAAAAACATCAATCACAGCTAACAAAGGTGTCAGTGGGACCACTGTAAGTGATGCAAGGAGGATTGCTTTCTCTTGCGTACTGGAACTTTTACATGAGTCTCCTATTGTTCTTTTGGTGTTCAAGTTACTTGTTATGAACTTAATCCATATACACATCAAATATTTAGTCATTTTACTTGCAGGATGGTTTTGAGAACCAAAAGAAGAGCGCGGGTAAAAATGATGCTTCTGGTAGGATTAAACTAGGCTGAGAAAGAAAGCGTTCTTGAGACTTTGTATTCATCTGATTATAATTTGTTTTCTTCAGGTAAAGAAAATATAAGAAGAAAAGCTTTGGCTGATGTCAGCAATGTTCGAAAAAGTGATGTTTCCGATAAAGTTGTATGCGATGGGTCCAAACCAATGTGAGTATTGCTATATTTTGATAGGGAGTTTTCTTTCTTTCTTTATCTTATTTCTGTTTTCACCCTATCTGTTTCTGACATGTTCTATGAAGATTTTATGGTACTTGACAATTGACATGACTATGGAATTTTGTGGTTCTCCATTAGCTTCCTAATCGTGCGGGTAGCTCTAACCACATTAAACACAATTTATTGCAGGAAGTACAAAAATGAGGGCTTCACATCTTTGCAACGGTATGCTTAGAGATCTTTTCCACTTCACATATTTGTAGGGGTTACATCGAGTCCTAAAAGTTGAAGTTTTTGTTTTGGATGCCTACAGTGAATTGTATTCAGCACTTCTACTTTTCCTTTGACTTTGTTATTGGTAAAGCATTCAACACTTTTCTTTGCCACAGTGTTTCGGTGGATCCAAGCATTAGGAAAGCAGGGGTTGCGAAAAAGAAATCTTTTGTGATGGTAAGTTTGCATTCCTGCTTTTTTTTTTCTCTCTTTTGCTCTTGGCTATTTAATATACAAGTAATGGTATTTTTTCTTCTCTTGAAGCAGCCCAGCATTTTGTTTCTGAACTTATCAGAATAATCGATTCTTACATTTTGAAATTTGGTGAGTAGCAGGAAATAGGTTGGGGATTGTGGTTTATTTTACCTTTGTATTGGATATTTATAGGACTTGGTAAGTGGTCGGAAAACTAAAGTGTTTGTTTTTGGTGCCCAGACTTTAAAAGAGGATTGTCAGGTCGAATTAGATATATTGATGTCACTCTTGACACGATGAGTAGTTGTATTTAAGGCCCCAGTGATTAGCCATTAATAGCTCAAATGGGAGCTCACGAGATGGAGACATAGGAAATGTGTCACGATTTGATGGCGTTGGTGAAGAAAAGAGCAACTGAAGCGCTAAAGGGAGGAATAGATTTTCATCTGAAGAGATAAAACTGGAAAAGAAAAAGGGCAACGGAAATGAACTTGTATAAAATTCTGAACTTGCATTTATCATGGTGAATTTATCGGGTTTGAACATATCATTTCTTGGATAAAATCTTTTTCGTGAAACGTCGGGTACCACAAAATATGGGGTAATTGACTTGCCTTGAACCGGTTTTAAAGTTCCTTAGACAAGCACAGAATAGCACCATAAGCTGTGGGAGATTGAAGCTTCTTTTATGAATAAACTATCCATTTAGCTTAAGGGACTCCAATAAGTGGCTTTAAAAGGACCTCATCAGAGGTATGGCCGTATGGGCTTACTGTTTATGATTTGAGATGACCCCTTCCCCTCCTATTAATCCACCAAAACATGTGGCAGCATAATATCGTTTTGTAAACTAGCACTTGGGCATCTCTTGGTATCTTTTAACACATATTGCATGATCATAATGGGTACAAATATATCATCTGATTGAACCAGGGAAAAGTGAGGGAACAAATGAATCAAAGGAATGAAGAGCCTCCTACAGTCAAGAGAGGTGAACATGATTTTCAGTAATTTTTTAAGCATGATTTCTACTTATTTGAAATGCCCTTACTAGTTTTCTGTCTTACCATGTATGAAAGAAGTTAATACTGCTACAGCTTCTCAAAGGGTCGTAAACAAGGGGCCATGTCAAGATCATAATATCACCGAACAAAGGTATTTGCTATCCGTGATTGTCATTTTACTGTTAATTGCAGGATCCTCAAAATGACAACTGCATTTAACTCTTATTTGGCTCCGTTTTGTCAATCTTTTTAGGACTTTTTAGTGTAACATAATTTTGCCTTTTCTGTCAGGACTCGAATAAATGCTATGTTAACAAGGTATGAGAGCTAACTTTTGCATTTTTCTCATAGAAAAATATACATTTCTTTACGTTGATTCATTCCTTTGGTTACCTTTTTCTGTCTTAAGGAAGTCTTTGCCAGTGTTGAGGAGGAACAGCCAGGTAAAATTGAGTAATATAATGCTAGTGTTAAAGAAGTCTGTCATTGGAAATCATTGCTCGTATATATAAGTAAATGTTTATGTTGAAGATGTTACCGCCTTGCTATGATGAACTAAGAAAACAAGTTATTTTTCTTGATTTTCTTTTTCGCGGCACACATTTTACTCTAGCATATTGCATGGGCCTTTTGCTTGGGATTTTCCTGAAAGAAGTTGCTTTTCTATTAGGAAAATTCTGAAAGTACAGCTAAGAGAAATGGCAGAAGTGCTATGCCCAGTAAGTTGCTATGCACTGAGATTTTTTTCTTAGTAAGTCATTGAATCGCTTTAACTTTGTACTTTTTTTCAGCCAAGATAAAAGGTGGTCATAAAGTACTTCCCCGTGTGAGCAATCTTGCAAGCCATGTTGCAAGTACTAGAGCGAGTGGTTGCACAATGATGTAAGTATCAACAAATCAGTGACCTCAAGTTTTTCTATTTGAAGAAATGAACTGTGGACAATCAGCTTTTTGCAAGTTCGTGGGTATAGCTAGTCCCCCCAAATGCATTCATTGCAAAACAAAAGTCACGTCAGCTTATATTGATGTTATCATCTTTGCACTTGGTGATAAAAGTTGGTAAATAGTAAA